AATAATAAAAAAAAAAAACCACGCTTTTTCATTCACTCCATAGATTCTAATTATAAAGCAAAAAAGCTACTAAACAATGGCTGCTTCTTGTGTTTTCTTCTCCAAATCTCCTTCTTCTCTGCTCCATTGAAGCTCCCATTTTCTCCTTTCTTTCAAGCTTTTTGTAGGTAAGGAATGCTCACTTTCTCCTCGATTTTTGCGAATGTAATGTTTGGTTTAACCGAATATTTTTTTTTTTTAATTATTTGTGTGTAGGGAAATTTATGTTTTATTTTTTCTTTAATTATTTTGTGATTTGATTTTCTTGTTTGAAGGTGCCATTGTTTTGCTCAAGAAATTTCTGGGTTAAAAAAGACTGAATTTTTATTTATGTTAAGAAAGACTGAATCTTTATTTTATTTATGTTAAAAAAGACTGAATCTTTATTTTATTTATGTTAAAAAAGACTGAATTTTTATTTATGTTAACAAAGACTGAATCTTTATTTTTATGTTAAAAAAGACTGAATTTTTATTTGCTTGTGTGTATTCTTTCAGAGTTCATACTTGGTCAGCTACATTGTACACCATTTGAGACCTTTGTGTTGTGTTAGAAAGACTGATTTTACATATTCTCTCTCTCTCTTTGAAAGAATTAAAAAAAAAACTTGGAGCTGGGAGGGTTAGCGAGCAATCACTCGGGGATCGACTCTTTGTGCGCGGTAGTTGAGGGTGTTACGAACGTGGGAGCCATTACGTGGCTACCGCGATTTAATTGGATACAGTTTCTGAGGGGCCAGTGACTGTTTCCTCGAGAAATAGTCAGGTGCAAGCCTGGAACCTCGGTAAAAAAAAAAAAGGAAAAAGTAGAACTGCAGGATTGTCTAACTGAGAGCAAGAATGAGAACATTTTTTAGTTAATTGATATTTTGAACCTGTCCCTGCATTTAATTCTTGTCTGCTGCATTATTACACAACACTTGAATTCTTAACAAAAGAAAAGACATTATTAAAAGAAAAGAAAAAAGGATAAATCATTTCAACAGCACCATTAATCTCGGCTAGATTGCAGGTTTTCACAAATTTACAAAATTGCCCCTATCCCCACTCATACCCATCTTTCTTGACACAAAATATCTCTTTGCTTTGCTGGTCCATAGGGCCTCAAAGAGTATCATTTTGCCAGTTGGTCCCATCTCTAAAGCTGTGAGTTACCAATGAGTACCTCGTGGCTGCATTACAGTTTGTAGGCTCTGTTGAACTTTTGCCCCTCTAAATTAGAGATGAATTTTGTGCTTTGTATACTGAGTTTAATTGCACTTGCCACGAACCGAGACGTGTCGATTTTTGATTGGTCAAGGACCCGAGTGAACAAAATTGCGCAAAAATCAAGTTCTAATTGTTGTGAGTAAAGGATATACTGATATGTTATGTGATGCTTGCTCATTTAGTCATATTTTGTGTGAGTGAATTTAATATGTTTTTGTATCAGTTGTGTAAGGGTAGGTATATTTTAATGCAGAGTACCTGTCTTAGAATTGATATATACACTGAATGCTCTTCTGATTTCATTGGATTCCCATGTTTCCCTCGTGATATTGTCCTAACACTTTACAGGTTTTGTTAGGCCAACGAGCATTTAAGTTCGACCGGAAAGTCTTAAAAACCTCCCATATTCAAGAAATGCAGACCCCCAAAGCAAGGTGAAAGCTTTCTTGGCTACTTAAGAATTTTGTAGCTTCCCGGTGGCATGATTGAATATAAAGTTTGGTTCTTTCATTAGTAAATTCTTTTGCCGCGAGTCTGATTGTTCGTGTTTTGATTGGTTTTTTTTTTTTAATGAGTTCTCGATACCTTGTGTGAACTATTCTTTCAAATTCTGCTGCTTCGATTTTGTGTAACATATGCACAGCTCATAAACCCAATTGCTTCTCATTCTCTCAATACAGACTACAAAGACTACTTTTTTATGGTCGTAAGAAGTTCGATTTCTGAGTTGGGTCATTAGTTTTGCTAAATTGTTGAAGTTTACCTAGTAGAGTTTTTTTTTTTTCGAAGCCATTGATTATTTTATTTTATTTTAATTTTTTTTGTTGAAATTGTGCAGAGCCAGCTCGTCTGGTACTACCACCCCACAGAAAAATAACTCGCCTCGATCTTCCGAGGCATCTCAAAAGAACAACACGACCCCACCATCTAAACTGGCTATTAGTACCTCTGAAGTTGCTCAGAAGGTTTCTCCACGAGTCGTTCGGCAGCTCAAGACAGGGCCTCGTTATTCAGATCACACTGCATCCTCAGCCAATCTAGCAACTAAGCCACCGAAAGAGAGAAGTCCTAAAGTGGCCGATCACAAACCGCCCAATAGCCCAGCTTCTGAGGTGTTCTGAGGCTAACTAAACTACACTTCACTTTTTTTTCTTTGAGAAGACACTGAAAATGATAAATAAAAATAATCAAGAACAATATAATAAGCTGCCTATGAGTTAAGGCTGTTAAGCCAAATTGCCTCCAAAAGAAAGAGAAGATAAACAAAATTTATATTACTTGCAGGTCCACTTTTCTATTATGTGAGGAATGTGTTTTTGTATTTTTTTTTTTTTTTTATTTTTTTTTTTTTTTTCAATAAATATGCCTTTTTTGGTGTAATTTTGTTACAGAAAAAGCGCTCGACCCGAGTCTCTGAGCTCGAGAACCAGATTTCTCAGCTCGAGAATGACCTCAAGCTCTTGAAAGATCAACTCCGCTCGACCGAGGAACTAAAGGAGCAAGCCGAGAAAGAAGCCGAGCAATCCAGACAACAGCTCTCGGCACTCCAAAACCAGATTTCCGACAAACAAGAAACCCACACTTCTGTCCAAACCGAGCCCGAGCCTGAGTCCGAACCCGAGGCCCATCCAGAAAACCAGGAAAACGAGCTTAACAAGCTGAAACAGAACCTCTCCGAAACACTCGCCCTCATTGAGGACATGAAGGTACAGCTCACCGACAGCAAGGCATCCGAAAGTCGAGCCCACTCGCTCGCCCAAGAAACTCTAACCCAGCTCGAGGCCGCGAAAAAGACGGTCGACACTCTCAAGTCAGACGGGCTCCGAGCCGCCGAGGCCCACGACGCATTGGCCCGTGAACTCGAAAGCTCGCGGGCCCGCATAAGTTTCTTGGAGGCCGAGCTACTGAAATCGGACGAGGCGGCCGAGAAGGCGAAATCGGAGTGGGCCCAGAGAGAGGCTGAGCTGGAATCCGAGCTGCGGAAATCGAGGTACGAAGTGGAGGAACTGAGGGCGAATTTGATGGACAAGGAAACCGAACTGCAGGGCATATGGGAGGAAAACGAGGGGCTTTCGGTGAGGCTCGAGAGCTCGGTGTCCGGTCAAGGGTTGACCGAGCTGCGGAGGTCACTCGATCGATCGAGAGGGGAGGCAGAGGAGCTGAGGGCTCGACTGGCGGAGAAGGAGGCTGAGTTTCGGGCCATGTTGGAGGTGAAAGAGAAAGAAGAGATTAATGTAGTTGAGGAAATCGAGGCGGTTAGGACAGCCGAGAGGGCGGCTGCTGAGGTGGCGAGGGCGGAGATGGAGGCGGAGGTGAGGCGGATGAAAGTGCAGACGGAACAGTGGAGGAAGGCGGCAGAGGCTGCTGCTGCCATGATATCGGCCGGAAATAATAATAATATTACTAATTATAATAATAATAATGATAATGGGCAGGTGATGGAGAGAACGGGCTCGATGGATAGTCATTACGGGAGTCCGAGAATTGGGAAAGTGGGGTCGCCTTATGTGGATGATCTTGATGATGATTTGGTGAAGAAGAAGAATGGGAACAAGACGAGGAGGTTCGGGTCGTTGTGGAAGAAGCAGCAGAAGTAGATTTCGGTAATCTCTTTTGTGTTTTCTTCCTTTTTTTTTTTGGTTTTTTGTTTTGAGGGCTTGGCTTGACTTGGTTTAGCTTGTTGTGATCTGATAAAACCTCTGTCGTGTTAACTTGGCTCGTCTCGGGTTTTCCTTTTCAATACTTCGAAATGTTTGCAATGCACTGTGTGCTGATGTTGGAGACAGAATCTTAAGAATGATATTGTCTTATATGAAGTATTTTATGGAGAAGCAATATAATGCTTGATGAGTGTAGTTTTATGAGGGATTTTGTATTGAGCTGCATTTTTTAACGTCAGTCGAATTTGTTTCACCCGAAAATGCGTATGATGGAAACATATTCGAGAACTTCAGAGTTGCATGTTTTTCTGCACCTTTCAAATGTAGATCTCAATTTCTGAATTTCATATATGTACGATGTGAACTGATCAAAACTGGTGAAACAATATTCTCAGTCAGTAAGAGCTAAATAAATTATTACTAGGAAATATTTTGATTTTCGACTGTTGCGTTTAAACTGATCGATTTTTGAGTTCGACACGATGAACTTCATGTCAACTAATGAATATGTGCAGCTATCTATGAACCGTTGTGTTAAATCTCTCGTTGATTTCTATACATGAACTAACTGATGAATATGTGCAGCTAGCTATGAACCATTGTGTTAAAGCTCTCTTTGATTTTATACATATGAACTCGTACTTCTATTTTTGTTGTACTATAATTGGAAAAGAAGAATGTGTGCTCAACGGCATAATGTTTTCTAATCAAACTGATTCATACTGATATATTATCCAAATGGCATAACGTTTTCTCAACTCGAGTTGTTACACGAATCGAACTATTCGCGGACATAACTCAATTCGTCTCGTGAAAGTCATAGCCTGGCTCATTCATTCATTTAAATAACCTAATCCAAGTTTGTTCGCGAACAACTCATATATATATATATACATATGATATAGTTCAAATGAGAATCAAGTCCTAACGTGAGAACTGTTATTTTTAATTATATGTAGTGCTATGATTTGTTGCGTTTTAATGTTATTTTTAAACATGATGTATTTTATTATATACAACAACAAAATTTTCATTAGCATTTGTGAAAATGATAACACCATGCAATATTAAAATTAACATCATACACAATTAAAAATAACATCAAATTCGGTTATCACGGTTCTCACACCAGACATAATTTTTATTTGAACTAGTCCCCATATATATTTTATTTTTTATGGGTTTTATATAAAATAATCAAGTTGAGTTTGTTCTCGAACAAACATTTCTTGGAAACGAATAACTCGTATAAGATTTTATTATTTTTAAGTGTGTCGAGGCGACTTGTATACTAAACGAGTACGACCTCGAACACATTGTTTTTTATAACTCGCTATTGCTCGCTATATAGTTTTTTTCGGAAAAACGCGACGTATCATTATATATTTAGCGTTTTTTTGCTGTTTTCCCGAAAAGCTTACGCAAAATATTGAAACGACACGCTTTCTTACGCTATTCACGTTATTGTGCGCTACATTGCGCTATATTTCTGCAACGACATTTAAGCAATAAAATATTAAAAAACTCGTATTTTTTAGGGGTCAGAGTCATATGTACAAGTAACAATTAAAAACTAAAAATTTTGATAATGATTTTAAATTAAAAGTTTGAAAATGCAAAGTC